GCCCTGTACGTCCAGGGAGGATGCCTAGGAGGCATCAGTATGTCTAAATCCCCACATCTATTAACCTCTCATTTCATCCATAGATTTCCACTGCATCCCACAAGGTAAGATTTCATCACGTTCAGTACTTCATACTTTCACTTCTTTTGGGGGTTCATCGGAAACGGTTCTTCCCTTCCCGGATGACATCCTACCAAACCTGGGCCTAATCGCCAAACACCATTTCATTCACTTGTTATAAACTGTCATCATTATGTTTCATTTATATAATGTGACCCGATAATAAACATGTATTTCATACATCACGTCTCTCCTGATTGAACTATGCTTTTTAATACTTCATGTATTCCTAATTCATAAATTAGAGGCTATTTAAGGAAATTACATTGCTCTTAATATGTATAGTTTCTCTGGTCAGCTGTCAAAACTTTCTTCACAACGGCCAAATGAATATAATATGGTTCTACCTCTGAGACTAATTTCAATAAATCAAACTGGTTTCAGGTTTTTATGAGCTCCCTAACCTCAGTAGCCTACTTCTCATACAAAACTCAGAGCTGTGACACGCCTGTAGGAGTCACTAACAGCCCCATTTCTTCTTCCTCAAACTTCAGTTCCTCCTCCTCCACCAACCAGACAAATCTGTTCCCAAGTCATCATCAAACAGAGACACAGCGGGTACCGAAAGTTGTCAGGAAGAGGGGTCGGACTTTTTGAGTAAAAGGGCGCAGTTATCGTAACGTTTTTGGCAGGACAGAAGCGGAATACATTAAATAGTTCCGACTGGAAAGTTTGGTCTGAAGTCGCGTGGGCAGTGATTTCCCTGTGCCAGTTTGCTGTGCTTTCCCAGCCGTGTGACAGGTTGCTGCTACTTCACAGTTCAAGGTAAGATAGTGTTTCCTTTGAGTTAGTTTTTTGACAGCAGTGTTGGTTTTATGTAACATTCAGCGTCACGTTGCCTAGTGACATCGTAGTGTCGTGTGGCGTCTAACTTTTCTCTGTGAAGTATCCAGCGATAGAAGCTCGCAGTGTTGCATGTTGAAAAACAACAGCTATTTTAAAGCATAGTTTTGCAAGCTAATTAACACTAAAAGAATGAGACGCAGAGCAAAGCTAAAACAATCGGGTGAGGTTAACTAGAGTTACTAAAAAAAGTCGTTCAACCTCATTTAAAAATCAAACATGTAATTGTTCATTTACTTCAAATAACAACTACCTGCCATCCAAAAAAAGTCCACTCAATTGAGTTTATTTCCAAAAATTCCCAATTGTGTATAGGTCATATAACCATAACAAATTAAATGCCACAAAAAAAGAAACATTAATCTACATTAATTATATTTAAAAAGGGGTTCTGGTTAATGGGGCTTCCATTACAGTGGAAAAGCAATAGAACAACAACATCCTCTCCTTTTACAACCTAAACTGTTGGTAGTTTGGTTATTAAACTACACACATTTTACGTAAAGAGGTAAATTACTATCTCTATGCAAATTAAATGTATAACCAGTAAGCTGAATGTAGTTAAACTGATTTAATTTACATGTAGTTCCCTACATGGTTGCGTCCACATGAATGAGAAATGAATCAACCACAACATAATGTCCTTACAATGTGTAGGCCAATTAGACTGTGGGAGCTAGTTTGTTATGACCTTGTGGGAGAACATTACCTTAATATTCCTATACTTTAAGTTTGTATTGAGTGTCTTTAAAAGCGACTTTTGAGTGTTAAGTGGTTTTAAAATAATTGTATGAACTTCTGTTCAGAATATAATATTACCATTACTGTTATTTTATGACCAAAGGCTACTTATTTTTGGCAGGGAATCTCGAGTTGTCACATGCCGAGAAGCTCTGAATGTGAGCTTCAAGAGTGACAAAACTTAAGGCCTATAAAGACATCAGATTACCTGATATTCAAGTGTTTACAAATGTTTATTATTATTTACTTACTGACTTCTTATTTATTTGTATGAACTAAGTCTGTTTTACTTAATATTTCTTTCAATTATTTCAATGCATTATTTTTCTCTTCTACACATTATTCTATCTCTTTGATATATGGTGTTTTTAGCTTTTTTATTATCCACATTGACCTTCTTGGAACTGGAACAAAATAAGACATTTTGAAGGCATAACATTTTTCTTTATTTAAAGAAGTAATTTAAGTAATTGTTTGCCTGATTTCACGTACTGTAAGCGTGTAGTTCAACATCAAATCATTAATTCTGAGTCCTTTCAGAGGCAACTGCTGAATGAGATGCATCACCAACAATACTTTCATCACTGGAGTTCCTCCTCACTGATTGTCCCTTTCTCTTCAGCGTTGAACAACCTAATCACTGTGCTTGTGTTTGGTTATGACTGAGCATCGCTTACGGTGGCAGGAAATGTGAATTTGAACTCAGCACATCATTTCATCACCACCATTCATTTATGGATCTACCAGATGTGGAGATTATTCTGCATGCATTGCAGCAGTGTACTTTGATTGTTGACCACTATGGGTGTTGGTTCTTGTTTTATTTGATTAATGATTTATGTCTTCAGGGGGAAATGTGTATTACATGCTTCAGTAAAGATTGGACGTCTCACACTCCCTCGGGAAGCATTCCCAGGGACACATTATGAAGAAAGAGATATACTTCAGAGACCTGCCACAAAGGTCAAATGGGACCATATCCAAACAGCAGTTCCTTTTTTACCTCTTGTGCCATGGTGGTAGGCTGAGGATCACGTCTATTCTGGTGTATGGGAGTGGAGAGAGAGGTTTCCCACTGTCTGACCCCACATTCCTGCTTCTCCCATGGCATAGGGTCAGAGCCCCCCCACCTCTGCTCCAACCCACTGTTGAGAAGAAATATGTACATCTTCTATTGCATTTCACTCTTGTGGTTTATTCTCTCCGCCAACTTTTAGGGGTGATAATTTACTCTTTGGCTGCTCTCTAACTTTACAAATCATATAAATCAGAATCAGGTTCACAAGTAGGTTCCCATGTAAAAGCGAATACGAAAAAAACAAGAACATAAGTATGGAATAGACTAGAGATACAATAAAAGGGTGAAGAATATAATAAAAATAGTTAACATATATCTGAATACAATTAAAGAGCTTTTAGAACAAAAAAGTACAATACAATGTGTAAAAGCAAACCTATAAATATCGATATATGAAACTTATATTTGTATTAAAATGAAACCGCTGTTATGAAAACCGGTCCAATACAACATGTAAAAGGTATCATAAAAATACTTTAAATATATTTGAATTGGAATGAAAGAGCTGTTAGCACACATAGCACACATAAAACTTGTCAAAGATAACCTATACAAATGTGTTAAATATATCTAAAGTAAAACGATAGTGTTGTATAGAAAGATCGAAAATAAAAATACTATAAAAATATATGCAATATACTGTATATCACTGCAGTACAATCAAGGGCTTGCAGTAGCTTACAAATATAACCGTCGGATTATTTTACGAGTCATCTACTTGCCATTCTTCTATCAAAGAAGAAAGGCCTTAGATTTATAAAATGAAACCAACACTGACATCAGAGGCTGCTAACTTTCCAGAGGACTGTTTGGAACCAGGAACAATCATAACCTTTGTCAAGAGGTTTTTTCCTCTGGGACCCACTGGCTGGTTCTCTGCAGCGGTAAACAAAAGCAGCAATGTTAGCCTCTGACTGTGTTTACTTCCTCAGCTCTCTCTGTCACCACAGAGTTCGCCTCTTGTTCTGTCCCATCGTGAAAGTTCCTATTCTGTGGGACGAGGGGGGCAGGACCGATCTCATTGCACCAGGCAACACAATGGATGAACTGTGCTGCTATATCAACATTTATTCTTTTTTTTTACCCTGCTACTTGAATCATTTCTTCCCTCTGGGCCAATCAGCAACAGGAAGAGCAAGGCTGTGCATCTGTGTCTTTGTCTGTGTGAGACATCGCTGGTTCTGTGCTACCGACAAGTGGCTGCCATGAGTCACTCTGACTTTGCACCAGAAAATCCCGTACTATGGTCCTTATTTTAGGCTGTTGGTCAAGTTTGATACGTGTCTTACTCAAGCAGTGCATTCATGAGATGCAGATGGGATACCTAACTCTCAGCCGTATATATCCACTGCCAGCAGCACATTCTGTGTCTATATTTTTACCTTGCTATGTGAAAGGAAGGCGCTTGTTTACAGTCAAGTCTATTTTGTGCAGTAGACTCTCTTCTTAGTTTGAACCTGTTATATTGTAGCCCACCGTAGAGTCGGGAGTTTGCATGTTTTAGTACATGCCATCCATACGTGTCATTTCTGCAGTAAATGAGCATGTGGAAGTGAGGTCTTTGGCTGCTGCTGTGCTTTCAAGCTGTACCACGCAGTTTTGTTTCAGAGCAGAGTGGGATTTGTAATGTCAGCCTTGTTGACTTTATCCGGGGGGGGGGCTTCCTCTCCTGACCGTCTGTGTAGCTTAAGCCTATGTCCGTAGCCTTTGTCTGTGTTGGCAAACGCATGTGTTGTTGTTTTTTAAACGGATATATAAACTAGGAGCCAACAATGGTAAAGACAATAAGGGCTTTACATGATGTTGAACCATATAGTTCAATGAAAGGAAGTAGTATAACATAGCAAGCAACACATAATGATGTAAATGGCACCAAAGAATACACCATAATACTGCAATTTATAACTTGTCAATCAATTATCTTATCTATCGACCTAATAGAGTGGTGCAGTAATGAGTCCTAAAACCCGGTAAACTCAGTAAATACTCCACTAGTGATTGTCTGAAGCTTCTATGTGACATAACTGGAGGTTACTAACAAGTGACTAAATGAGACTACTAAACGTCATCACGCTGACACGAGTCCGCCTTTGGCTTAGCTATTCGACTGTGATGTAGTTTGCTTATTGCATTAATTCCTGCCTATTGCATTCACGCTTCAAAACTCATAAAGTGGTGTTAATATGTGGAGATTATCCTGCTGAACAACACACGTTTGTTAGCCACAAACCTTATTTTCTGCAATATACTGAAATCCAAAGAGGGATCCATTCAAATGCTAACTTCTGGTTCGGCCACATTTCTTATTTAAATCTAATGAAAGATTTTAACTAATTTAAATGATCATATAGGTAAAAAATACGTGTAGGCTATAGGCAAATCATTTAGTTGACAGATATTTGAGACAAAAGCTAAAATGATCATGTGATGATGGTTATATTCTGGGAACCATACATTTCTTACAACATTGTAATGAAATCCATCCTTTAGTTGAGATATTTCATTCTGGACCATCACTCCCATCCATGGAGAAAATGTAAATGGCGTACAAGTTAGCATTTCATATAATACACAAGTATAAAATGAACAGTTAACATATTAAAATGAGCACCCACATGTTCGCCTAATGTGTTTGTAGAAGCGTTTTTGTTTAGTCACTTTTTTAGGGTCAGTGTTTTGGCAAGACTCAAAAATAATGAAAAGAGAATAATGGGTTGATTCGACAGCATAATGAGAGGGTTGAAATATGATAATATTTGCACATACGTATAGGGAAAGCATGTGTTGCACTTATTCTGTCTTTTAAGACAAATCGTGAAACTCCCCTTGTGGCAAACCTTTGCTCACTGCCTAATGGTTTATTTGTATTTTCAGTTAAGAATGTGGCCCCGGGAGGCCTCACATTTGTTTTCGCTAACATATTTATACAAATATTGGGAAACGGTGCAGCTCTAATTGCAACTCCAGACTTTAAACTTTTGTGTCATATGTTATCATTTAGATTTCTATATGTAAGGATTAAAGGCTTTATTGAAGCAAAAGAAGAAAGTGAGAACCTGGTTGTAATTAATGACATTGGTGTCTCGTTTAAAAAAACACATAT